TGAAAAATAAAAGCCTAAAGATTTAAGATAAAAGGTAAAAGATCCAAGATAGGTCTAATTGTGTGCTTGTGGCCTTTAAATAGGGTGCAAAAATATAATAGGGCGGGTTTCCTTGTGTAATTAAACTTCCTTCACTGCGCCCCTACGCCCATCCGGACGGCCGTGTGAGATTAAGATCTAAAACCCGCACGGCCGCGCGGCCTTCTGTTCTTCAGAATTCTGATTATTTCACTTTTGGCCCACTTTTTCTCTGAATTTGCAGTTTTCACCCCAAAAGTTGCCAATTCTTCAATTTGCACCTAAAATACAAATAATAACCATATTAAGCACCAATTATCGTAAAAACACATCAAAAGCTCCAATTAAAAGGTACCATTAAGTGTATAAATATACACTTAACACACCCCCAAACTTGAACTTTTGCTTGTCGGAATTGGAATAAATTTCTAGATCCCGAAGATGTTGAAATTAAAATTGGAATTAGTTTTATATTTCAAAAATAAATGGAAATTTTCCAAAAGGATCAAGTCTCATCCATTCTATCCGTCTTTCACCCTTAGACAATTCCTCATATCCGAATAGCGATTTTTTATTTTTTTGGATGGTTGAAAATATTATTAATTACCAGAACGAAAAGAGTCAACAATCGGGGATGATTGATCAATGATGATAAGAATGGCATTCAATTCAAGCCTTCAAAAATCACATTTTCAAGCTTTGCATTATTGATGAAACGGCAGGCTTCAAGGATAAGCCAACACTTCAGCAGCAAGAGGATCATTGCAAATTGCAATGGTGGTGATTAGTCTATACAGTTTATTCCAACTCCTCCTGCGTTTATTTACCCCCTCTGTTTATAAGAATAAAATCAGCCTTTTAAATGCTTCAATCTATCTATAATACACATAGCAGTTAAAACAGTGCCATAATAGCCCGTCTAGCTCAGTTGGTAGAGCGCAAGGCTCTTAACCTTGTGGTCGTGGGTTCGAGCCCCACGGTGGGCGTGATAAAATTTTGTTTAGTTTTTTAATATTGGTTTTATATATTTTAGCTTAATTTCATTTTGCACCCTTGCAATATGGCATTTTGTCTTGCACTCCTACAAAAATGGCTTAATTTCTTTTTATGCCCTTGAAGTATAGCATTTTGTCTTGCACTCCGAGAAAAATTCAATAGCATTTTCCACCATCAAAACACAATAAACTATTCAAATTGCATCACAAATTGAATTTTTAATAGTTACTGAGGCCAAATTCATCTTTATAATGGCATATGTTCTTTTGGGAAAAATTTTTAACGTACAAAGTGCAAAAGTAAAATAATTACTCACTAAGTTAATTTAAAGCTAAATTATTTTCTCAAAAGAAAAAAACAAATCTCACAATTTAATAGTATAAGTATATCATTCGCTGTAATTTATGAAAATATTTGTCACAAATATTTGGGCAAATTACGGTCATCCTCTGAGGTAATGTCAAATTACGAAAAAACACCCGTCTTGTTTGTGTAAGTACAACCACCCTCTCAACTATGTATTTCCTTACACGTTCACCTTTTCATTGTCAAGTTTACATAGGGATGTTCCTCCGATTAGTAAACCGACCGAACCGAATCGGATGAAAATTCGATTACTGAACCGACAATTCGGTTCAATATTCAGATATATATACATATATATATTTAATACATTATTTTTTGGGCAGTCATCAAAGATATATACCATATTATTATATGGACATGAATAAAAGTTACCGACTACGTACATTTAGGAAGTGATAAGAATTTGGACAGTCAACAAATAAAATATATAAAAAGGAGATCAATAATGCAAGAGTACTTCCTCTTGCTCCATTCGCTTATATTCATTTGATAGTATAATAATTAGGGTAAACTAAACCTACACCCCTGAGGTATGTCAAAATAACTTTAAGGTCCCTATAGTATTGGTAATTACAACCACACTCATGAAACAATTACCGGATCCAAGATTTCATGTTCTGGGAACCGATATCCACTATATTTGTTTCCCCCGGGGTCGTTTATGCAACTATAGACGAAGATTTATAAATTTTATATAAAATAATAAGGATTTAAGAAATGTTAGGAGAGCCGTGTCATCTCCTAGCTCTATGTTGTCTCCATCACTGCCCGCAACTAATAGTCCGTTAGAACCCTAACGGAATAACTTATCCAATACATTATGCCGTTAAGTTGTCTAACAATGTTTCAGGGAAGTGATTGTAATTACTGATACTACAGAGACCTTAAAGTTATTTTCACATACCACAAAGTGTAGGTGTTATTTACCGTAATAATTATTAAACGGTTGTATTCAGATTCGCTCAACCATTACTAAATATGTTCACACATGGTGAAGAGGAATACATATAATTTTATCACACGTAAGTTTAGATCAATGCATCTCATTCAAAAGGTTATTTTGCAGCATCGATATGCACTATCACTTTCTACTAGATTTTTTGCATTATCTATTGCATTTGGTCAAATGGATTAAATTTAATTGAAGATTATTAATAGAAAACTTGGATGATAATGAATTTCATGTTGCAAGTTGAGTTCGGCTTTTAGTTTATATGTTGCTACCATCTATAGTACTGGCTCTTAATGTTGCTTGGGACGAGGAATTTAAATTCCGTAGTTTATTTAAAAATAGAAAACTTAGATGATAATACATTTCATACTGTAAGTTGAATTCGACTTTTAATTTATATGTTTCTACCATCTATAGTACAAGTTTCTGATGTTGTTGGGACGAGGATCTTAAATTCCATTGTCTATTTAAAAAGATTTATTGCATTCAACACTGCGTTATTTCTTTAGGTTATTTTATTGGCATAAACTTCGCTATAATTCATTTTTAAGAGTTTTATTTTAGCATATATAAAAGTGAGAATTTGGAGAGGGTTTCTCCTATTTCTGGATGGACAAAACACCATTGGAAAATTAATTTCGTAAAATAATTCAGTAAATAGAAGCTAATTAGCTAGCATAACATGATTAAAGTAACCGGCGGGATGGTATTTTTTTGGTTTCAAGGGTACAGAAAGAACACCTCTCACTTAGAGAGAATTGCATCAAACACCACCATTTAAGTGGCGACTTAGATCGTATATAGGGAAAGAAGGTCTTATAGGAGTTAGTGAAATTTCATGTAAATAGGGACATGACAAGAAAACGAAAAATACTGCATAAACAAATTAAAACTACAATTCTTAGAGCGTATTATTCGATTTCAAAACAACTCTTCACGTTGCTACAATTCAAGGTTTTATAGGATTTAGTTAAATTTCTTACGTTGAGTTAATAATTGAAGGCTCAATTCAGATCAACTATACTACTTGCATTTAATCATATTTCATATATTGAAGTAAATTCATCTAATTATTTTTTCATAAAATTATTTTTCTATTATTCAAAGAAAGCCTGTAACAAATATTTACAATCCATGTAGTAAAGGGATTTAAATAAAGACTAATAAGTAATAACATCATACTCTCAAAAAAAAAAAAAATAATAATAATAATAACATCAGAAGTGTAAATGTATGCCTAAATTAAGTTTTTTTTTTTTTTTTGTTATTCTTATAATATGTGTAAGTGTGCATACATCTGGACTGTAATCATAAGGATTTTGCAAAGAGAGGGTATAATGGATTTTCTCTGTAATAGTTTCTAATTCAGTCTTCGGATACATCACCATGTTAAATAAAAACTAATAAAAATAAAAATAATTGACATAACAAATTATTTTGACTAAATGATGCAAATCAATTAAATAAATGACGATGCTAGAATTTGCAAAAATGAGTGTAAACAAAAGTTGGTTAGATCGAAGAAAAAGAATAATAAATAAATATTATAAATGATATTTAACTTTTAGGTTATGAAGAGAAATTACTTATGCAAATTCAAGAACAAGTACGAAGATGTTTTTTACTTTGGAACTCTGTGCCAAGTTAACACCAAGCAAAATAATATGACTGCAAAATTTACATTCAAAAAATAAATTAAAAACTGTATCATTTACTTTATATTATTTTTTAATTTTATATAAAGTGTTGTGGAATAAGCTTCGATATTTATTAAATATTTTGTATAGTACCACTTATTAATTTTAGTTGAGTAAATTATTAATAAAAATATAAATAATTAACAAATATCATGAACCACCAGCAACTAGGGGTGGTAACTGGTAAACGAGCCGAGTCGACTCGTGAGTTCGATGAGCTGGCTCGTAGAAAGCTTGAACTTGGACTCGAGGTTTTCGAGCTCGAGCTCGAGCTTTCTGACGAGCCGAGCTCGAGCCGGTTTTTAGTTGTTCATGAGCTCGCGAGCCTTATTTATTATTATTTTTTTATTTTTTATATGTTATTTTTATTTAAATAATGTATACTAATATAAAATATTATAGAAATAAATACAAATATTAAAAATATATATAATTACAATTTAGTTTTTATTTTGTATTTTTTTTAAATATTTTTTTAATAATAAAATAATAATGAAAAAAATGTTTAAAAAAAAAAGAGCTTGGGCTCGAGCTCGAACTCGAGCTCCGACAAAATTGACACGAGCTCGAGCTCGAGCCAAAAAAAGAGGAACTCGACGAGCTCGAGCTCGAGAGCCCGAGCCAGCCAAAAGAGGCGAGCTCGGCTCGTTAACACCCCTACCAGCAACGCATGTGTCACTTACTAGTAGAAACGGCCACGGGTCGGGTTGGTCCCGAACCCGACCCGGATTTGGACCCGCCCTGCCCCGGATCCGACCCGGCCACAGTGGACCCGGACCAAGACCCAAATTTGCATGGGTCGATTTCGGGTCTTGTTTTTGAGGACCTGAGATCCGAGGGGTCTACCCGGCGGGATGACCTGGGACCCGACCCAAGGACCCGTCGGTAGACATGGCCACGGGTCGGGTCCGACCCGGACCCGGCCCGGACCCGACCCGTTGACTGCCCCGCCCCGCCCCGCCCCGTTGACCATGGACCCGGACCCGAACCCGGCCAAGTACGGGTCGGTTTCGGGTCCCGACTTCTTGGACCCGAGACCCGGCGGGTGGACCCGAAGACCCGGACCTGAGGGCCCGGCCCGAGGACCCGTCGGGTCCACCCGGATTTTTAATGAAATAATCACCAAAAATGCAGCGACTGGGGTTCGAACCAAGGTAGCCCGAGTGATTCACTGAGCACTTACCACCAGGCCAACCAATATGTTTGATTAAATATAGACAACAAATGTATATACTATAAACCTATGGCGTAAATGATAAATATGTTAAATAAATTATTAATTTTCATATTAATTATTATTAAATAATTTTAATTAAATAATTAACAAATGCAATATAAGAAAAATATATATAATCACAATTCAATACTTCAAAACATCTATTATTAATTAATATATCAATATAAGCTCCACTGTTGAAAAATATAAAGTATTGAATCAATTCAATATATAAACAAATGCGTTGACTTATTAAAAATTGACTTATGTTATTTAAATCGATAGTGTGAAAAAATCGAATGAAAAATAAAATAATATGTTTATTTAAAAAATCAAATTATAACCCATTTCAATTAATTTAAGTCGATTAACCTCAATTGTTGACAATAACTTATTAATATTATTGAGTATTTTATCATAAGATAATTATTTATATAAATGGTGTTTATTTTAACAAAAATAGATTATATCCCATTTCAATTAATATTCTTACTTTAAAAATAACATTATATATGACTAGTATAATCAAAATATTATGATGTAATTTCTCTTTTAATAATTGATTTAATTTGTAAAAATCGTAGGGATTAAATTGTAGACCATATGATTTAATCGTTTTTTTACATATACATTTTATTCAAATATTAGAATCGAATCGTAAGATTTAAATGGATTAATCTAAAGTCCTTTTAATTTTGATATTATATTTGTTAATAATGTAATTAAAATGGTTTAATAATAATGAATATGAAAATTAACAATGCATTTAACATTATTTATTATAATCATTTCATACTGTTTTGTTTATGTTTATGTATATTTCTTGCAAGTAATTTCACAAATATTTATCTTGTCTCAGTGGTTTGGAATTCTTTTCAGGTGTCTTGCGACCCGGGTTCGAATCCCATCCATGACACTTTTGGCCAAAATTTAAAAATCCGGTCCGGACCCGGACCCGGCCCGGAACCGACCCGGAACCGGGTGGACCCGAGTGGACCCGGCCCGGACCCGGACCCGCCTCCCCGGGGGTCGGTTTCGGGTCCTCCAAAACTCGGACCCGGACCCGGCGGGTCCGACCCGGAACCGGACCCGACCCGACCCGGGGCCATGTCTACCCGTCGGGTCCATCCGTACTGAATGTATAAATTCAAAAAAATGCAAGGTTTGGTCCATCGGTTATTGTAATATTCCTAACTATAAACATATAATGTGAATTGTGGGAAAGCAAGATGCCTTCTTTCTCAAGATATACTCTCATACCAATATGGCAATATAATATCGCGTGTGATATTTACGGGAGAAGGAAACTAATGAAATTACAAGGAAATATAAATTACATTCTAAAGAAACCAACACGGTCACTAGTAATTATATATAGTTTACAAAAAAATCATAGCTTATAGTTTATTGGAATTTTCATCTTTATTTTCTTATTTCTAGTCATCTACAGAAACATACACAATGGTTGATGAAGAGTATTTTCAGTTCTCTTTGAAAATTGTTGTAAATAAAAAGCAAACAAAAGTACTGTTTGCGGAAGCCGACAACGATTTAGCCGACGTTTTACTAAGTTTTCTAACGTTGCCGTTGGGAAAAATTGTCGGAATTCTGAAGAAACACTATGGAGGAGGAGAAGCACCTCTCGATATTGGAAGCTTAACCACTTTATACAACGGTGTAGCGAATCTCGAAGACGCCAGTTTCTGGGATGAGGGTTGTAAGGAGATTCTTCTGAATCCGAAAAGTTCGTCCGAAATCGAAGCCGAGTATCGTAAACTAAAACTTGATATAAGTGAAACTCAGCCCATCGAGTACTTTACTTGTAATAACTTGAATTGTAAAGCAAATATACTCAGATTTCCATGTTTAAGCATTTATTATGATACTGTTAGATGCTGCTGTGGAGAAACAATGAAGAGAGTAGTCGAAAAGGAGTCTCGAGCTAATGATTGTAAGGACGGAGTTTTTACCCGAAATTCAGAGTCTTTCATAATCTCTGATGAACTTCGGATACTTCCTAATACGACGGGTTTCGTGCAAACCCTCAAAAGTTTCGGTATTGCGGACACCTATGGCGCAGAGCTAAGGAATGTAACGTTTGGATTCAACGAGGTTAGTGTCTTAATTCTTTTGTTTTAACTATGTGTGTTTTAAGGGGCAAAAATGCGTATTTAGGGATTTCGTCTTCTTAGTTGTCACGTTTCAATTTTACAGATCAATAATTTTGTAAATGATTTGTTTTTTTTATTTTAATTTTATGATGCAATTGAGGAATTTTACTAATATGGCCGTTTTAAAAATCATAAATTCGACATCTAACTTAGCATTAATAATACTATGATTATGTTAGGTAAAAATCAATTAAAATTCGATTTGCAATAGGACCAGATGATAATTTTGCATGTAAAATTAATTGAAATATGACAACTTAGAGAACTAAATGCAGGCCAATATATATACAGACGACCAAAATTACATATTTTATTTGCTAAATCTTACTATCTCAATCGAGTGATAAATATTTCCTTGCATGTCTATATTAGATTATGGATTTGCTCAAGGCCTCGTTACTGTCCCATACTCCGCTGACCGATATCATACTCAACAAAAACCAGATCTACGACTACGCTCGAACAAAATATGAACCGGGATTTTCACTTGAGCGGATTGCGACGAAAGCAACTTCTAGACCCAAGAAGATGAATTTAAAAGTCGTTTTACAAAAATCTACCAATAAGTTATTGTTTGCTCAAGCTGAGGATGATTTCGTAGATTTTCTTTTTATTTTTCTGGCCATCCCACTAGGAGGAGTTGAGCACCTTTTGGGCAGTAACACTTGTCTTAAGAGTATAGACAATTTGCACCGCAGTGTAGCAGATCTTACGGACCACAACTACCTAGCGAGTGCAGATACGAAAAACATACTAATGAATCCGGAGCTACATCATGGATACATTTCCGAAAACATGGTTCTTCCTCTGAGTGAACAAAGGCTATATGCTACCTTTAATAGTACATGGGGTACTATAAAGTGTTCTTCTGTCAAGTTTGTGAGAGGGCCGGGGAAATATGTAAAGGGACCGAGATTGTACAAGATTAGTGATGATTTGACTGTGACGCCTTTCTGTATGGCCTCAACTCTTTCCGTTATCGAATCCCTTAATATCCCGTTATCTGATGTCAAAGAAATCGAGCTTCAAATTGGGCTGGAAGAGGTAATGTAACTTGAATTTTTATTTCTTATTACTATATATTTTATGTATTATGAGTTATGACACGTGTGTTGAGCTTACTAATTATTCTTTGTGGTGTAGGGTTTAAACATATTGAAGGCATCTCTTACATCGACTTCTGCTCTAACCGATGGCCTGAAGATCGATGGCATGTTCATGAAACAACCAAGCAAGGACACTGATGTTAGTGGCGGCCTGAAGATCGATGACGTGTTCATGAAACAACCAAGCAAGGACACTGATGTTAGTGGCGGTCTGAAGATCGATGGCGTGTTCATGAAACAAGTAAGCAAGGACACCGATGTTAGTCAAAATCGTCGGCCTCGCTACAGCTTCATCGACAAGTGTTTTTCGTGCTTCAATCCATCATATATGAAGCTGTAGCTTTATATTTGAAAGCACTTTTTGCTCTTTTCTAAATTAGCATAGATTGTATTATCAGGTGGCACTTTTCAACTGCCTTCAAATTGCATTATTATTTTACTCATTGGAACTTTACTTTTGTTGCTTCCTATGTTTAATGACCACAATCTATCAATATTTTCTTTGTCGTTATTTTTCCATTTATTTCCCAACATTTTTTGCAACGAAACCTCGATAAATTAATAAATTTGTTTAAATAATATTTCTCTCAACCCAGACTCAAGGACTATGTTAAGTCACAAGTGTATATTTTGATACTTAATCATATCTTTTAATAAGAGCATTTAGTATATTTTGTCGATAATTAGTGCTTAAAGTTTTAATTTATTGTGATTGAATTGAATAAGTTGAGGGTCAAAACTACAATTTAGAAGAAAATATGGACACAATTAGAGGAGTCAAACATCCGAGAAGGAAAGACTGCCCTACCAAAAGTTACAAGGAAACTGCATTTTCCCCAATTTTTCCTACCTTATAAAAAGCCATCTCAAGCACACTTGGAAGTCCTCTTTTTACGCAATTTCAAGAGCAAAGAAGCAATAACGAAGACGAAGAATCCGAATACTCCAAGCATAGTTTTATCTTCCATGATTTATTTTAATTTCGTTTTTACTTTAATCATGAGTAACTAACTCTTTTAATTATAGGATTTTATTTCGAACCCTATGTGCGATTTATGAACCCTTTTTCTATGATTTTATACAAGTTTTAATCCCGGGTTGTTTCTTCTACTTGTTTTATTAAGTGCATGAAATTGGTCACTTTATGTGCTTTTATGTTATTGTTAATCGCATGAATCAGAAGATCGGGTTAATAAATAGAACTCGGGTAGAAGAGCCTTTGTAGTAACATAAGAATATAGTTAATCTCTTATGTAACCATTATTAAGATTTGTGCTTCATGTTGTGTTCTAGAATTAATTGCGTAGGAATACAATAATTGAACCTAGAGTATTATAATCATAATACACGCGGAAGCGGGTTATGATTAATTTAGCATCTCAGGTAAGTAATCCGATTTAATAACTTGCATATTTGAAGGAATTGGAGAATTAATAATCACATAGGCGGAAGAATAAAATCCTATACTTGTTTTCTCTGATTAATTTTCGTGTTTAATTGTTTTCTTGCTCTTGCCTTTTTTATTTAGTTTAGTTGATTACTCAAAATTCGACTGTGTAGGGTGGGCTTGATCACAATTGGTAGGATTTAGCGTCTAGACTTAAATAATTAAATATTTTGTGGGATCAATAATTGGACTTAAAAATCCATTATATTACTTGTACGACACGTGCACTTGCGTGTAGGTATTATCACCAACAGACTACGCGTTAATTTTTTGTTTTTTCACTAGATTAATATTAAGTAAATTCATAGAATCCAAACTTGTGAGAATTGTTACTATGGCTAGTTAAAAGGTTATTTTCATGCACTTGAAAACAATTTTGAACGAACTATTAAAAATATTTATATCGGTTTAAATTATGAGAATAATATAACAGCAATGATATCAAATGTAAAAGTAGAGAGGTAAATTGAAAAAGGAGGAAAATACATTATAGTTTGCACCTCTTAACAAAATATCCCTTTGAACTATAAAATGTAACAAAATGTCCCCTCCATTCACAATATGTTAGTCTGTGATGATGTGACATGTTGACTTTCTTATTTATTATTTTTTTTTTTTCATTTTTCTCATACGCTGTTACCCCTCAATTTGTTGTATGTGTTTATATCAATGTTCTATAAATATCGGTTGTGACGACCGATATATCGGTGGTGGTCGTAAACCTTTATGGTATTAGTAATGCGGTTTGCAAAATCGGTTTTTGGACAGTGAGGCGGTGCGTGTATGAGGCGGGTCAAACCGATCGATATATTGAGTCAATAAATTGGAAAAAAAATATATGTTTTTTTTTTACTTAAAAGTAAACTAGGATTTTTTTTCTTTTTTGTCCTCCAAATTTCAACCCAATTTTTTTTAATCAAAATCAATCACTTACCATTGCTAATAATCACAAACCATATTCTCGCTTTAAGTATCCAATATTTGTAATAAAAAAAATTGATAAAAAAAATGGTGGGCTACTTAACAAAAATTGGGGCTTTTTTTGTATTAATTTGAATTTTGAGTGGGCTAATTAATAAAAATTGAGGCTCTTTTGCATTAATGAAAATTTTGGGCAAACAAATTAATAAAATTGGGTGGGCTAATTAAATAGATATACAAGTATAATATAGCTGGGAAATTATCAATTGAGGATGGGCTTGAGTACGCCCTTGGGCAAGGGTGGACTCGCCCCTATACATAAATATAAACTGACAATGTTTTAAACATCGTCCAAGTCGAAATGCCACAACCAACTCCAAGACTGCAATCAAAGCACTTCTTGCACATTAATCTAAATGTTGGTACAGCTGAACACAATGCTACAGTCAAATCTATCGTTATAGGATGAATAACTTGTTATCTAATATTAAAATTTAATGATAATACTAATACTAATAAGACATGTAGCCAACTAATACATGGTGCCTCTCCTCTTTTTTTTTGGTCCCTCCACTAAGGGGTCGCGTGGATTCTTCTCTGGAATGGGGTGGGTCTAGAGCGAAGGAAAGAAATATGTGTGGCCTATGGCAGATTAAGGAATTTTTTTTAAGAATGTTTGGAATTGAATATAGCAAAAAATAGAAATAACATTAATAAAAATAGTAGACCAAAAGATTACAAGGGTTCAGGGACATCGCCTTCTATTTTTTTAATAGTATATCTAAGACTAATGTTTTGGTATACTAGACTTTAAGCATACTAAGGCATCTCTTATAGACACTGTCACGAGTCGAGTAGGGCCCGGGTCCAACATTTTGGTGACTCGAAACCGACCCGTGGTGAGGTGGGTCTGGGCCTAGGTCGGGTCCTCACGGTTCTGGGTCGGGTCCGGGTACAAATTGGATTTTTTATTTTTTTTAACTGTTAATAGTATTTTACAATAAAGAAAACAAAAAGTAAATTGAAACTTGAAGATACTTGAGCTTAACTTTAAATTCAAAACTATATAAAAAAAAAACAATGATTTAATTTTATTATTTTATACGATTTGATTCTTACGATTTTTAAAAATTAAATTTTACTATATTTTATAATAAAATTCAATTAAAAAGATATTACTTGACTAATAAATAGTTAATTTGATTTATACATCATTGTCAATAGTTGAGCTTAATTCATTTAAATCCTTGAATAAAATTTACGGATTGAAAGAACTTGAGCTTAATTCAAATCTTACGATCAAAAGATTTATTGTTGCAATTTTTACGAATTATATTTTACTATTTTTATGATAAAATAATCAATAATTTTAATAAGTTTTTGTCAATAATTGAGGTTAATCGATTTAAATTAATTGAAATGAGTTATAATCTATTTTTTTAAATAAACATCTTATTTCATAAGTGAAAATAATAATTGAGAGATTCTTCAAAATTCAAAAAAAAATAAAAAAATTCAATCATTCTTTTAAGTTACACGGATGGAACCATAACTCTTTATATTTTTCAAAGTTAAAAATATATATGCATTTATTATTAGTGGAGATTTTTAATATTAACAGTAGTGAATATGACAATTAATAATTTATTAAACATTAGTTTTATAGTTAGGAATATTATGATAATTTGATTTGCCTGGATGGTTAGTACTCTTCTAAATCATTTGGGCACCCCGGATTCGACCTCCTAACCTTGCATTTTTTTGGACACGGGTCCTCGGATCGGGTCCCCAGTCCGGGTCCTAGGGTCCACAAAAACAAAACTCGAAACCGACCGACATCGACTTCTGCTCTAATCGATGGAGTGAAGATCGATCACCTATTAATTATGAAACAACCTAAGCAAGAAAAATAAGGTCGGTCGCGTGGGTTCTTGCGAAGATTGCTTCAAGCTTGTTTGGAGTTCCATACATGTGCTTTCAAGCGTGCAATGTTCATAGTCATAGTTCTGTTGCCATTATCTATTATTATGTTCAGATCTAGTTTCAGGGTATATTATAAAAATAGTCTATCCTTCAACAAATATGATATTAACTATAAAAATTCTAGAACAGTCCCATGGTTTTTGGGAATATATAGAATCCAAATTATAGAAGGAAATTAATTCCCATTATTTTATTTTCGAGTAAAATGCCAAACCATCCTTTAATTCATAAAGGTAAAAAAAAAAACCCTTGAAAAAATAAGTGGCATAAACTCCCATGTAATCGGTAGTCAAAGCAAACAACCCCTCGCATTCGTTCGTGTCATTCACTCGTTGTTTGTGTGATTTTTGTACAAGTTTTTATATGAAATACAAAATTGCCCCTATGAATCTCTCTAGGTTTTTATTTAGGGGTGAAAATTGGAAGACATTTCCGAATTTTGTCAATTCCAATAAAAAATATTCCGAATTTGGAACCGTATTTTTCATTCCGATTTCTGATTCTTCCGAATTTATTTGGATGTAATTGGAATGCTATATAAAATTATCGTAAATTCCGATTTGCGATCCGATTTTAATTTTGAATATTTCTATGGTTTTTCGAAATATATAATATAATTTTATGATATATTTTGTAGGGAAAAATAGCAAGAACCCCCATCTAGGAAAAATGTAGTTAAGGAAACAGCCCCTCCAAAAAATAATTAGAGAAAACCTAAATATTCCACCCAAATGATATTTTTATAATTCTAAAATCACTCTTAATTGTCCAATATATTCTTTCAAAACCCTAATCTCTTTTTTTTCATTTATCGTACATACACACACACTCTCTCCTCCTTTTCCTCATCTTATTCTTCTACGTATACTTTTTCTTTCTCTTTCCTCATT